GCGGGGGCGGGTCAGCGCTGGCCGTGGTGGGCGACTCCCCGCGGCTCGTCTTGGCTGGCGCCAAGTGCGCCCGCATTTCTCCTGCAAGGGAACAAGCGCACGCTTAGGCGGCCGTCACCTCCACTGAGATGCTTCCCAGGCGCGCAGGGAGGCTGCACCGGGCCCCTCGGTGCCTTCCATGCTGCAAATGGCCCTCACCTGCCCACCCGGCCTCCCCACGCTGGCCTGCAGGGGCAGGGAAGGCCCAGGGTGGCTGGCCCATTCTGGACGGGGCATGGAGGAGCTATGGACCTTGCTGGGCATTGCCAGCAAGAGGGACCAAGAGGGGAGGTGGCTGGGGGGCTCTCAGCTGGCTCCGTTGGTGCCTCCGTGGCGTGTCCATGCTGATGTGCAGGCAGCCAAGCCCAGGTCCAGTGTGGCTGAGCTGTGCAGATCCGGGGGGTTCTTTGCCCCCACTGGTGGCCCTGGAGGAGCAATTATTGTTTGCCTCTCTCCAGGTGCACAAGGCCTAACTCCCTGCAAATGTACCAGCCCCGAGCTGGCTGGGACTCAGCCCCGGAGGGCTCCAGTAAGACCCCTGCAGATTTACAAGTCCCAGGGGTGGGACTGGCTGCCCAGGGATGTGATTGGCTGCCCGGGGGTGCGACTGGCTGCCCGGGGGTGTGACTGGCTGCCCGGGGGTGCGACTGGCTGCCCGGGGGTGTGACTGGCTGCCCGGGGGTGCGACTGGCTGCCCGGGGGTGTGACTGGCTGCCCGGGGGTGCGACTGGCTGCCCGGGGGTGTGACTGGCTGCCCGGGGGTGCGACTGGCTGCCCGGGGGTGTGACTGGCTGCCCGGGGGTGCGACTGGCTGCCCGGGGGTGTGACTGGCTGCCCGGGGGTGCGACTGGCTGCCCGGGGGTGTGACTGGCTGCCCGGGGGTGCGACTGGCTGCCCGGGGGTGTGACTGGCTGCCCGGGGGTGCGACTGGCTGCCCGGGGGTGTGACTGGCTGCCCGGGGGTGCGACTGGCTGCCCGGGGGTGTGACTGGCTGCCCGGGGGTGCGACTGGCTGCCCGGGGGTGTGACTGGCTGCCCGGGGGTGCGACTGGCTGCCCGGGGGTGTGACTGGCTGCCCGGGGGTGCGACTGGCTGCCCGGGGGTGTGACTGGCTGCCCGGGGGTGCGACTGGCTGCCCGGGGGTGCGACTGGCTGGGAGATCAGGCCAAGCCCCGTTGCCTCCATCCCCCGCCAGCTTGAAAGGGGAAGCAGTGAGGCCCGAGGCCGCGGTGATGGCCTCCAATTAGCAAGGAGGCTGGGGCATGGGAAGTTTGCTAGTGGGGCCATTTTCGGTGCTAAAACGATGACAGTTTGTTAGTCTCTAAGATGCCACATGGGTTGCGGGTGAAGTCAGGGCGGAGGGAGGCAAGCCCCCAGCCCCGCCACAAGCCCCACCCCTTCTGCTCAGGTCCCGCCCCCTCTGGGGGCCAGGGCTCCTCCCCAGC